TCCTCCTCAAAAAAAAAAAAAAAAAAAAAAAAAACAAAAACATAACAAAACAAAAACGTCGTTCAAATTCGTTAAAATTCGGTCGTCTTCGTGATTTTCGTCTTGTTGTTTTTTCGTTTCCTAAAATAATTAAATTTTAAATACAAAAAAAAAAAAAAAAAAAAAAAGTTTTCCAACGGCAACGAAAAGGTTTCGCTTTGTACATCTCTTCTGCTATTACTATAAAAAAAAAAGGAACCTAAAATAATAATAATAATAATAATAATAATAATAATAATAATAAATCCTCCGTCGGTTTATTCAATTTATTTTCTCTTTTTTTTTCCCAACCGATAATAATACAAAAAATAATAAAATAAACCGACAGGAAGAACACAAATGAATAAAATAATAATATTAATAATAATAATAAAAATACGTTGAATTTTTCGTTCTATTTGAAATTCAAGCCAAAACCGCCCTAACTTATGTTTACATATATGTACATAAAAATTTATTTTGATTTATTAAATTTTTTTTTGCTATTTTACGTTTGCGTTGAATTTTTTTTTTTTTCCCCGGTAAATATTACGTTTTTTACGTAATCTTTTCGTTTGACAACACGTGGATACACACCACGTGTACGGGTAGATGATCCTCAAATAACATTTAAAAATTAAAAAAAAAATAAATAAATAATAATAAGAAAAAAAAAAAAAAACAATATTTTTCATCTACATTAATCAATCATCATTTCAAGCCATCATGCATATATATCTATGTACGCTTTTAACAAAAAAAAAATAATAATAATAATAATAATAATGGCAAAAAAATTTTTAAGCAAAAATACTTAATAATTTTTCTTTCAAAAAAACCAATAATAAAAATAATAATAATTTATCAAATAAATAAATATAAATAAACAACAGTTAAAGCGGCGAGCGGCCAAGTGCTTTTTTAAATTATTTATATAAAAAATAATAATAATAATTAATTTAATTTGATAAAGAGCCAATTTTTTTTTTTTTTTTTTTTTTTTTTTTAAATTTTCATTTTTCTAAATCACAACAACAGCAACAAAAAAAAAAAAAAAATTTTCACGGCACGTTACGCATATAATATATATATATATATATATATAAATATAAAATTCGGCAGCAAACAACAACAGCAAGTCGTGAAAAACTTTTCCCATTTCAAATCAATCAAATAAATAAATAAATAATAATAATAATGTAAATAAATAAAATAACAACAGACCATAACAAAATAAAAAAAATCAACAACAACACAGAACAAAATTTGCTTTTTAATAATAACAATAAATAAATAAATAAAAATAAATAAATAAAAAAAAGAAAATTCCTGCAAGCGTGAAGTTGGTCAAACCTGCCCAACAGAATTGTTTATATATCACTGTTGATTGATCACTCACTTTTTGCTCTTCTAAATTTCCTCGTTTTTTACATTTTTTTTTTTTTTGTTTTGTTTTAAAAAGGATATGTTATTATGGATGTTTTAAGAAAAACTATATGATAAAAGAAAATGAGACAAAGAGAAATAGAGAAAGAGAGAGAGAGAGAGAGAGAGAGAGAGAGAAAGTAAAAAAAAAG